AATTATGTAATCGTGGGAGAACGTAACCAAGAACTTTGAGTTTTTGGAAATTTTACCATACATTTACTAGTAAAATGTATACTATAATTATTAGTACACCCAGAAAAAAGTTTGTTTGAACTTTGATCTTAATAGACTTTTATTTAATTTTAAAGAAATGGTTTCTTTATCTTAACCACAATTTTATTTGATTGGGACTGAAATTTTTAAGAGAATTCATATCTATTTTCTCAAATTTAGCAAATGTTTTACATCAATCAAATAAAATTTTTACAAAATGTTTTACATTTGCTAGTACAAGTAAATAAAAATTCATTAGATTCAAAGAAACATGATTTGAACGTATCTCATTTGTTTAACCGAAATAAACTTTTTTTCTGTGTGTAAATGTATGGTAGGATTTCAAAAAACTCTTACAAAATCCTTCGAAATGCCGTGTTGTCCCACGATTACATATTATAATTTACAGGATAAAGAAAATTCTCTCGTGCAGGATTAAATAGGGCTACTTTCAAGAAAATCGTAGGAAGTCGATTCGCAGCGAAATTGACAAACGATGAAAAAATCTCCTCTGATGCGCGTTTGCGACTGACAAAAAACCGATAAAGAATAATACTACAAATGATAAAATAGAATCGGAAGCGCGGAGATAGAAATGAGAAGACGACTTCGCTCGTCCGCGACTGCTTCCGCTTTAATAACGTCTCGCGCAGCCGAAAGACAAATTACTATGGCGCTCGCGTTTTCCGGAAAGTACCTAAGAGCATCTTTCCTGCGTCGAGCGAGAGCTGAGGTTCCATTCGGCGACGTAGATTAGCGAGGACGTTGCAGCCAGTCGAGTAAGGTTTGCTCTCCCTCTTCCCTCCACCCCGGGTATTATACTTGCAGCCGCGGTAAGAAGTTGCGAATCAACATCTCGTTATCCGGAATTCGAAAACTTTCGCGTCTGCAACCAACCGACCACCCCTCCCCTCCACCCCTGCTTACGTTTCTCTCCTCGCGCGCACTCCCGAGAAGAGGCTGATTGTTGCGCGACCTTTTGTATAATTTCCGTCTATCTCTCAGGAAGATTGGAGCCCCCTTCGGGATCGCGACAAAAGTAAGTAGACGAAGTTGCGAGATTCAATTGATGAAAACAGCGAATTGTGTCGGCCGGTAAGGAGCGCACAACAGAGAGGAAAGAGAAAGGGGGAGAGGGGAAGAGATACTTGACAACATCGATAACGAGGCATCGCAAATCTCTCTCTCTCTCTCTCTCTCTCTCTCTCTCTCTCTCTCTCTCTCTCTCTCCCCCCCTTCACCCCTTTCTCTCCACCTTTCTTTCGAGAGCGACGACTTCGGCCGCGCGGACGTCCGGCGGGGGGAACGCGACGAACGAGGACGAGGACGAGGCCGAAGCCAAGGAAGCGCCTCGTTTCCTCGAGACCGAGAATACCTTATCGTCAGCGTCTGGGAAAATTTGATCTAAGAAAAGTGGCTAATAGCGAAAGTCCCGGCTATAAAATAAGCCACGAGAGTATCTCGGATCCGGCTGGCTTATTTTAGAGAGCACTCTTAATCGTGTCCTCGGGCGGAAACCTCGAGATTATTAATTAATCAATGATCGCGGACAAGGGGGACGTCGTAATTCGGAGATCGACTGATTAACACGGGCGGGCGATACCTTCGTCATCCACAAAGCACGCCACTAAATCTCGCTCCGCGCGATTAATTTTACAGCGCGGTGTCATCAAGGGAGTCGAAAACTTCGGGACGACTCCTCGTCTGCTCGTATCCTATTTCGAGGGAGATCTGGACTGGCGCAGTTTCATCCCTCATCCCCTTAACCCACTCCTTCTCTTAATACGCGAGCGGTGTACAATTTCGAAACTTAAAGGACGAAGTCAAGGAGGGCTCCGAGCGAATTTGCCTAAGTTCTCCGACTTCGCTTCCTCGCTCGTCCCTCGAATTATTTCGAGCTTCTATCCGCCGGTAAAAGTAATTTTGTTCTCGAACAGAGAAAGCGAGCGAGACCGACGCCCGTGCCGCGCCGCGCCGAGGTGACTCAAGTCGTCCGTGGCGAGGCGAGGCGGGTCGGAGTCGAGCCGGTACAGACGGTAGGCAGATTCGGTGGAAGGGCACGCAGCTGGGGAAAGATGCTTTTAGTTTATTACCTCGAGGAAATTACGCTGGCGAGCCCCCGTCTACGTTATTTCTTTTTTCTTTCCTTGCTTCACTTACGGCCAGAAGCGCCGGGAGACGCGAGTCATCGCGACGCCGCGTCGCTCGCGAGCTTAAAGTCCGCCGGCTCCTCCCAAGGCGCACGACGTAAGCTCCGCCGCGCATTTTGAGGAATTAGGTACATCTTACTCGTTCGTAACGGCTGGGTATCTCGACCGAGTCGTTACCGCCGGCGCGCGTACGATTCGCGCGGCGCTCTTACCCGAGAGGATCTTATCCGAGGGAAAGGGCAACGCGATTCTTCCTTCCTCGGGAGAAAAGGGAATTGAGCGGGGATTTACATTCAGAATAGGATACCTCTAACCACTCGAGACATGAGAATTTCTGTTTATTAAAGAGAGCCTGAATCTTCCACGAGTTACTTTCGCGGACAATCCGGGAAGTTTGAGCATTCCTCGTCATTAAATGAAGCACCGTCGATTTACGACCGACAATCTCCTTCGAGCGCGCTGCATACGCAACAGTTTAACAACTTGGAATTAAAAGGGCCGATAAATATCAACGTCGTCTCCGCAGAAGTATCCCTTCCTCCCGATTCCCGCGGCCGTAATGCGTTCCTTCCGCGACGGTTTACGAGCGTAATCTATCCTGTCGTGTCATCGGGACGCGCATTATGCAACTTCGGAACTTTTGCGCGCGTTAGGCGCCTCTCTCGTAAACGCGAACCGAGAAGTTGGCCGAGGGAAATTAGGCAACGACTTATGCTCGTTTGTGCGAGCATACTTTCGTAAAGCTGACTGTAAAAGACGGCAATTGGCAACTCCAGACAGTTGCTCTCCTCCGTACTGTACAATTGCACGGTTAAAAACTAATTACTGCGACAGAGCAACAAATTACCTATTGTATCGCTGTACATGGAGAGAAATTTCTCTTAAAATTTAGCCTGTTCGTCGAAAAACAAATATTATCGACAGTTTGATATGTTACAACTACCACAGAGACTATTATCTACCAAAAGAAAACGTCTCCGATTACTTGGAAAAGGCGATTAAAAGGTATATAAGAAATTTGCTTTCAATAATGAAGAAATATATACACACGGAGATACTGGCCAAAGAACTTCCCATCTCCGTAACACGGCAAACGGGGCTGAAATTCCTAATTCACTTTAATTAGCCGTCACCGCGAGCCATCCGGACCGCCGATCGAAGGGTGGAGGCCGCCTGTCACTACCAACGGCAATTTTCCTCGGCGTCTGAGATCGCGTGGATTATCAGAATATCGGAAGATCGACGGAGGCGACTACCGGAGATGCCGTTAATGTAGCCGGAAATTACGAAAGGGACGGCTTTTATCGGACGTGCGCGGCGCGGCAGCGAGCCAGGTGCGGCGCTGCGTCGCGCGGTCGTCTCGACGACGAGATTGAACGCGGCCGCGTTCGATAATACGCTTCCCTCCGCATGCGAGTCATCTCGCGTCGGTCTCGATGCGAAAAACTTGAAATCGCGATACGAACGCGTCCCCGACGTACGAGAGATCGAAAAATGTAGCGGCACTATTTATCTCATCGGCAATTCCCGCCGTGAATATAATCGGAATTAAAAGTTCATCTACGATTCGGAGAATCTGATTTTAATTGGATTTAATCCTCAATTACTGTAATCAAATTTGGATAACACAATTACCGCGCCATGAATCGAATTTAAGCTCGCCACGCGGCTTTTACGGAGATTTAGAGTTAAAAATTAATTAGATTCTCAGAGCCCCGCGCACCGCGGAATTAAATATTCATAATCCGACGGAGACGGATCGACGGAGAGTGATCGACCACGTCGCGACGTAGCGAGTATCGGCATGTCGGAGGCGCGACACGCGGCATTTCCGGCGATCGAGTCGGCGCTCGGTGATCGATACGGACGGTTGATTTCCCATAGATGTTGAATGACGGGCGCGGGAAAGAGACTCCCCGTCTCGTCGTCGCATATCGCGGGGAGCTAATTGGACCGCGGATGTACCTAATCGAACCTAATGCGAGAGCAACCGGGACCGGGGTATCTCGGGCTCCGGTAACGGGCCATGAATTATCGATAAGCCGCAAACGTCCCCGCGTCCTTCCACCTCGTTATCAATGAAGTCGCACGTGGAAGACGGCGGCGCGCGGCCCGCCGAGACGACGCTGTTCACCATTCCGAGACGCGACTCTTCGAGCACTGGCCAACGTGACGGATAGAGACACGCGGTAGGTCAAGTCTAATTAACCCCGGCAAGGGTCAGCGGCAAAATGCACGACTGTTCGTACACGGTCGGTGGGAGCCGCGCACAAACCGCACACCCGCAAGCTTTGAGAAATGGGAAAACGTAAGCACCTGGTGTAAAATCTTTCAGCGCTGCTTTTACTTCGATATCGATAGAAGAAAAAATTCCTGGTTTGCAAAGAATGTGTATCCATCGAAATGTTATTTTCCTACTTTCTGATACAATACTTTCGGTGTGTCTGTGACATCTGCTTTAGTTTGTAACTACAATCTTGATATTGAATTTTTTTAGAATCTTGCGTGTCTCAGCGGGCTGCCGCGGCCAAAATTCTCGGCTCGAAGAATTGAATTTCGCGTTATCTTCGGGAATTCCATTACCCCGTGCAATACAATCAGGCGTTGATTGTCTCGGATGTAATATCGAGTGCGCACGCACGCGACATACACAATCGCGTAAGTAAGCCCTAAAACTCGGAGCGGGGGGGGTTCGAGTCTAGATCCGTCGCTGCACGCCGACATCACGTCCTGGGACAAAAATCCTCCATTAGCAAAGCAAATACCTTGCCGTATTCTTTCTGTCCGCAGAAACAGCCGAGCAGCGAACAGCAGAAATTGATAAGATTGAAGGACCTCGTCTTGCAGAGCTCCGGTCAATACAAATGCGAAGTCTCCACCGAGGCGCCGTCGTTCGCCACCACTTATCAGACGGCCAATCTGACGGTGATTTGTAAGCATCCCCATTTCTTTCTTAATTAAGCCGTATACCATAGTATAACCATAGTATAACTAGTATAACATAGCATAACTAGCCCACTCTGTCATTTCTTTTGTTTTGTGTCGATTCTTTCTGCGCATCCGCCATTATTTTGGCGAAGCCACTTAGATGGATGTTGTATATGTGGTAGTGTGTATATGTGGTAGTTGTATATGAGGTAGGGCGACAGTGTGAAAGGATTTTATACCAAAATAATGGCGGAACACCACGTGATCGAGACCGAAAAGATCAAAGGACCGATAGAGAGTGGCATGCTAGTTATACTATACCGGCGAGATGTCGTAAACGCACTCCTGTCGTTGTCAATGCAAGAGACGCAGAATTAATATAAACCAGTTACTGTCCGACTTCGCTCGTCGAAAGCGCGCGTTTCTTTTGCATTATTTAAATGTATCCATCGCGCCGAATTACGTAAATCTTGTAAATCGATTAAGTAGCTCACGAAGTTACTTTCGATGGACTCGATCCTTCTCTAACCTTTTTTTTTTGCGGCAAATCGGTAATCGTGCGGGAATATTCTCTCGTTACGCATAAAATTCTACACCATCTCATTAATTCACGAGCGCCCAATAGAGACTCCTGCCTGCCTGTTTGAGTTACCGCCAACAGTATCTACCATTATGGAATATTTATGTGTACCTGCGCGCGATAAACTATTGCGGCAGCGCCCACGCGCCTGGCGTGCTGTTTTATTGTAAAATAGTTGTCCACCGGTTTTCCGCCGCCGACCATTCCGCACATCCTCGCGCCATTAATTCGCGTCTTGGGTGCTCTCCCCCGTCCAAATATACTTTTTAATTACACACGCACTCGATCGAGTCGCGGTTCTACGCACATATGTAATAATATTGAACGACGTACAATACATTCAATCACAATATTTTTCGATATTTTGTAATATCGCAATCGCGATATCGTCGCGGAATCCGCGAAAAAAAACTGCTGGATTTATATTCTTTTAATAAAAGCTGGATTACAGCGATTGTTACGATTCTTTGCGATGAAAAATGTGCTCTGCGGATTATGTCAAATATTAAAATTCCCCAGAGACAGTTCATATAATATATATTTCTATTATTATTTGATACGCGGTAATCAGCGGACTTATCGTAAAAGATCATTTTGTAAATATTATTTCAGCTGCCAATTACGTAGCGAATATGCGTTGAACAGATTCAATGTAATTTGCTCGAAAAAAAAGGAAAAAAAATACGCCACCGATGAACGCGTCTTTTCGCGCGATTTTAATAATTTGGACGTTAATAGGCAATTAGGTGATAAAAGCCGCGCGTGGCCAGCCGAACATTTTACGATAATACACTTACGCTGATTTCGTTCGCGTTTCCGCCGCTCTCGGCCGCCATTAAATCTGTATGTTTCAATTAATCGTTTAATTATATGCATTATAATTCATACGCGAATCACGTAAAACACGCGGCCGCCCGCGCTTATCAAGTTTCCCGCGGTTGAAACGGCACCGGGCGACACTAATTTGCCCGATTCGGCGACTCGAATAAAATCGCCAACAAATAAACCGGCACAATGGCGTCGCGCCACGGGAAGGGAAGCAGCATTATCGCCGTTGGCACCGTTCGGTATCGTATCGGCGAGGATCGATCAACGCCGGAATTTATCTTCGCCAAACGCCTCCGCTCGCGGTCCGCGAGATCGATTAAATGGCCGCCATACGAGCGCCGCGCGTCCCTTTTTCTTTTTCACCGGCAGCGTGAAAGCCGGTTTCGGTACGACAGGTGCCGATGAATAGGCTCCCTCGAAAAAATAACGCGTCCGCAATTCTGGCTATCGCTCGCGGCTTTCGATTCTTGACCGGGCTACGTAAATCATCCCCGAGTGACGAGACGTGTCCAGGATAAAGCACCGTATACCCCTATCGAGCAGACGAAACTGCCGTATCATGGATTGTGGGCGGTGCGCGTCGAAATCTGCGAAACAGTGAATGCTCGAGAACTTCGGAAACGACTGTGTTTCTTCATTTAAATGTTGTTTTTCGATACTTCCATGCCGATGGCGTTATTTTAAATTTGAGCCTTCCTCGGAAACTCTCTTTTATTCATCGTGAATTCTACCGGGAACTCAACTACTTGCCTCTACAAAACACGTTACTAGAAAAAATCCATAACCGAACAATACTGTGTGATACAACTGAGCAAATGATCATTTTAAGTAGTGGTCTTAATTATTCGAAGCTTCGCAACTTCGAAGCTTCGAAGAATCCGAAGAAACGAAGAAACTTCGAATATGAAATTTTCGAAGTTTTGAAATTTTTCGAAGAATCGAAGTTTCGAATATTCGAAGCCAACTAATGCATTAACGTATAAGTTTTCAAAGACCGTACCAAAATTTATTTCCTTCGATTTAATTGCGTTTTTTTTTGTTTGAGTGAATGGACAAATATGTGTCCGACAAAAAGTACGTTTGCTTTCTACACTTTGTAATGATATTAATTAGTTGGCATTTAATTACTTCACAGTTATAATAAAAACGATTAATTTTGCAAAATTTGTTATTGTTTTTATTATGTTAATACATTAGTTGACTTCGAAACTTAGAAACTTCGAATCTTCGAAAAATTTGAAAACTTCAATTCTCGAAGAATTTCTACGAAGCTTCGAATCTTCGAAATTGAAAATCTTCGAAGAAAAGTCCCAGCTCTAATTTTAAGTAAACATTTTCGAAAAAGGAAACGCGCGTGGCTGTTTGGTCCGTTTGATAGATGCATAGCGTTTTAGAACGAGAGGGAAAGAGGAAACGGAAACTGGCCAGAGAGGGAAAAGAGGAACCGCGAAGAGAACGGGCTGTCCAGTCGCGAGCCCTGTCGACTGTGCGAAATTTGTTTCTGTCCGTGGCGAAGGTGCCGCAGGAACTGCCCCCCTTCCCCCTCCTTCACCGCGAAAAAAATTTACATCGTTTATCACGATGCGTGATAAAAAAAAAAGTAGGAAAAACCATATTCGCCCGTCCCGTCGAATATTTTCGCGAGTGCGAGCCTATCTCCGTTTTCGATTCGCTCGAGTCCGAATTTGCCGGCGCAAATGTCGAGGTGTTACGATCGAATGCCGATCGAACGCAGATTTTTTTACATCCCGTGACTGCGTGCGATTGTTTTCTCGCGAGCGTCACGTTGTTTCGCGTCATACTCGAAGTGAAATTGATCGAGTCGTTCAGTCCACGGCGTCTGAATGGAACGGAATAAAATCCTTTTTATGTAAGGCTCGTTCTCGTTTAAAGCGATGCGCATCGGGGTGCGTCAATTTTTTTTCCCGAAACTACAGCTCATCGCGATGGAAATAGTTACGCAAATGCGACCGTGTAACGGGAAAAAAGTTTTTGTAAACACGACGGCGGTTCGCGTTGATCGATACGGGAGGAAAATTACGGAATCGCGACGTTTGCATAAAGTAATTGAAACGGCGCGGGCCCGCCGACGGCTTCCGAAACACAATGAAAAATTTCGAGGGAGCCCTCGTAACGCTTTCGCGTACCATTCCGCGTCCGGATTAGTTTTGCGATGAATGAAAGACACGTCATTTGTAAACGGCCTTTGTGCCGGCGCGATATTAAAAAAGCAACGCATACAACAAAAATATTATTCGGAGATGAATGCCGCGAATATTGCGCGAGATTTTATGGAGAGAATTGTGCGTCGGCTCAATTATGTGCGCCAGCTGCACCCGGCGTGGAAATTGTTTTTTTATTAATTCGGGAAAATGCGAGGCGTATCGTCGCGCGTGACCGATAATGGGGATTTCGCGTTGTGTCGTTAATACTAAGCACCTGGCGGAATTATTAAAGACAAGAAAGTCAAGTACACGCTTCATCCCGTCGACAATTTGCGAATAAGAATTTAATATCACTTGTACGCGCGGAGCATTTGCCTTGGTAAATTTTTACCAAGGCAAACGAACGTAATTTATGCAGTTGCGAAAAGCGCAACTCTCGTAGTACCGGCGCTTCGTACCCTTTGGGACCGCTGATATTTCTCATAATGAAGAGTACATATAAGCGTACGCGTATTTGAACAACACATGAAAGAGGGGCATCCAGAAAAAATGTATAAAACGGTTGGAAATGCATATATCCTCGTGAGCAGCTTAATGAAGCGTCTTTTTGTGTCTGGTTTACTAGCTATTCTTCGCGTTTCTACGCTCATAGTCATCCGAAATGGAAACATTGCAAGCAAATGCTCATTTCAACGTATCTATTATTAAAACAACTCCTCGCACTTTACAGCTATTAATTTCGCATTAATTAATAATATACACGAAGTTTTGTCATTGCATTAAGAAATGAGAGACGGTCAGATGTTATATTCAAAACAGTCTTAAGGGAATCCTAAAGCCGTCTGTTTTATCGACATTATTTGCAGGGTTGAGAAGTAACTCGTTACTTGTAACGAAGTTGCAGGGGTTCGATTTGGAGTTTAACGCGCCCGCGGGATTTAATAGGGGTTTCACTCTCACACATATGCGAGAATGTATGTATATAGAAGCATAACCCACCCAAATTGTAGCACATCAAAAGAAATTAAAGTATACATCGTACAGCACCTTACTTAGGCACTCCATCAGAGTGGCCAATATTGACCACTTACCTCGTCGTATTTAGTCCTTCGGTGGGCCAGATTGGACATACCTTTCGTTGCTCCCGGCCATACAATCTGGTCATTTTGACCAGAGATCAGGAAGGAAGAAAACTCCTTCCATAGTCGGTTATCGTCGCCGATAAATATTTCGTACGGTTCGAATATACGAGTGACGATCGTATCGCAAAATGCACGACCACGAGACGTGAATTAAAGAAGAAGGTTAATTAAAAAAACTTTACTGTATTACTGTATATACGAATCAAATTTATTGTTACTGCTGTTATGTATTCAAAAATATTGACCATTTCTTCGTAATTTAATCTTTAATTTCGAAATTCAAGTAGGT